CTTTGGACCGATTACAAAGACTTATTGAGTGGTTGTGGAGACTCCGTTTGCACCCTGCCTTTGATATTTAGAGCTTCAAAGTGGTTTATTAAATTTGCTGCAAGTTGAAATTAATTTTGAAACAAACTAACGTCCGTTTTAACTTGTGATGTGTTTGTCAACAGTAGGCAACTAAATATACACATAGCAACTTTTAATTTTGAATTTTAACCCTAACCAAAACTGTTGTGACGTGTTTTTTTGTTGTGATTTCAATTTGAGGTTCTGTAAGTGTCTTGCTTTTAATTTGAATCTCATATCGTTTGCCCAGCATACTGATAACGATAATTTACACGTATTTTTTAATTAGCACCCCGTTTCAGGTTTCCGGGCCGTGCTGTTGTGCTAATAAATTTACGGCGGCGGCGGCGAGCCAACTCCCGAAGCAATCTAGCACCACGTCGCCGCCACCGCGCGCCCACTGATGACGTATTATGTATTATTAATGAGTGCGTTAAGCCATTAAGCCGTCAACTGCGCGCTCGTTTGTTTCAATTTATTTTCTTTCGCGTATATTTTATGCACGGTGACAACTTTCTGCAGGCGTCTCAAGATGCACGAAAGATTTTATTACTTAACAATGCACAACGTTATCCCGTTGAAATCAAGTATAAACTTTATAATTAAACATTTTAGTTTCATTTTAAGGCTAAGATGTCGGAAAAGTTTTATTTTTTTCGCTTGACATAAAAAAACGGAGGAATTACTGAGTTGATTAAAGTGTTGATTGGCAATAAAAATCCGTCTAGAGCTTGGAGAATTCTTTCCGGACTTTCCAAATAACAATCAAACACTAACGATCGTCATTATCCTTCAGATTACAGTCGCAAAGTCGCTCTAATTAACGTGTTTACTACTAAAGTCTCAGGGACTAAACAATTAAAACAAATTAAATTAAATAATAAATTAAAATAGTAAATTATTGTTATAAAACTTTAATTGTTAAACAAAAGTCATTTATAGTATTTTATTACAATTATCATTAAATTTATAGAATTAAATTTGTTTTAGTACAAATATTTGAGGCAAAAAGGTGCAGAAAATTATAAAAATTTATCAACAAGACGCAGAAAAAAATTTTGGCCCTAAAAAAAGTAGCTTACAACTACAGACGAATTCAAATTTAATTTATGTTGAAGCGGGTAATTATACGTGTACGAGTATATTTATCTTAAAACGTGGGACCCCTTACGCAACGCTACATTATTCAGAGGAGACCCGTAGCTTGCGTATGACTAATTTTGTTTCACTTGCCAACACGCTTTCCCCCACCACTTAAAGCGGGTAGTCCGCAGGTACAAAAGAACAAACTGCAGTTAGCACAGAGCTTAGTCGAGCCTCAGTCGTCAAGCAAAACCCTCCCAGGTCTCTAGGTTCTTCACTCCTCTCTTTTACTCTCTTTTTCCGGATTTATTAGTTCTTCTTGAATTACACCTTCAGTTTTTTGCACCACTTGTAATTAACATCTTCATTTTAGTAATAAAATATGATAGCATTAGATAAAATAATAATTCAAAACCAATGCATAAATAAATAATAAAATATTTTCAAATCAAAACAAAAAAATCAAATTTTACAGAAAACGTCTCAAAAAGCAAATATTTTATTATATCATATTGTATATTATATTTTATTGTATTTTACAATTTCAATATGATTTACAACAAGTCAGAACGTTTAACTTTTATTACTAATGTCAAAACCATATCGCCTTTATACAGCTCATAAAAATCTGAACAAGTTGCGTGCAACTCTATTACGTGTTCCGTGCTCGTGACACCTCACGCATGGCAAAGCACGAAAACGGAAGTTGATGGCGCGCGAAACTGTCGACTCCATCTGTTAACCAACGAATTATCACGACAGGCAGTTTGACGACAAACTTTCATCCTCCGCAACATTCGCAACATTTGTAACTACCGCCACGTAGATTTAATGACTCGCACATCATACGGCCGCGTGATTCTTGTAATCAGAGCGAAATATACAACGCATCACCAAGAAACTAAAACAAGTAAACATTATCTAAAACTTTACTCCAAAGTTATAAACTAAATGTGCTAATGTTCAAAGTTGTGCAAAAGTTACCAGGTGACAAGTAAGTTGATATAGTGTTGAAATTTAATTATAATCAAGTGAATATTTCAATCTTACGTTGATAACTAATCACTTTGTAGATAATTAATTTTCAGGTTGTTCGGAACATTATCATTGACTTTCAACTTTGTGATTCCTTCATCGCGTAGTGGTTGATGAGTGAAATAGTTGAGATATCGTCTTCGAAACCGCGTTTGTCGCTTAACCTCGCATTTCTCTTTGGTCGGGAGACATTAACTTTTTGCAATTTCGCACGTTGGCACGTCGACGCCCGGAATCGTTAGTTTTTCACACTCTAGTTGCGTCGGCGTAAGCCACATCCACGTCATTCGCGTCTTAGCGACATCCCAGTGGAGGATATGTCACCGCGTTGCCGGAGCGAACGAATTAAATTATTGTCGCCATCGTCGAGCTCTCAACGAGGAGATGGATCTATAATGATGCAGAATTCCACGAATCTCCGACATAGTCAGAATAATCCACCCATTTTGACATTGAGCTATGTGTATAAGTAAGGTTAAGCTGTGTTCTAACCTTAAAAACAACTTAAACACGCAATTTATTTCTTTTTTCTGTGTTTTTATCGTAACCAATCTATTTTTATGATTTTTATGTGTTTCCAGCACTTTTCTTCTATTTTATTGTTGGTTATTTTAAAGATTCGCATAAAATCTAGCAAGAAGAAGCGAAAGGGTAAAAGCGGACGCGGTTGATAGTCGGATTCATCCCCTTCATGTCGTAAAAACATACAAGCGGCAACGAAACTGAATGTCGCGCTGCAGGAAGTCATACGTTCCGAACAGTTTTCGTGCGAAAATCCTCCGTCATGCTTTTTGTCATGCAGCAGCGGCAAAAATCCTTTTAGTGACGACTGTCTGCGCTCCAAAGTCCTTGATGTATACATTTATTTTCGTCTCATGCACAGATTCCGCAAATTTTTGCAACAAAATACACAAAAAGCATAAATAAATTAAATTCAAACCCTCGTAGAAACCGTTTATCCATAGATCACGTCCGTTCGAGGAGGTTGCAAACTGTTTAGATCTCGTCGGCCAGAAATAGACATTGTCCTGACCGCCTTTGTGACCGTTTTCCAGGGTGGTGAAGAAGATCTCTTGTGTATTCCATCCTCACCCGACCTGTCCGCAGGCCGTTCCGCTGCCCGATCGCCCAAATTGTGAACAACCTCAACAAACTACTCAGATAGCAACCTAGTACCTCTACAGCACGCAACTAATGATGATAATTCTTTTCCTACGTTTGAACCTTTTCGATTGCGTTGAAAATAGGTTAATCCCGTGCACCGTAAGAAAAGGGTCGGTAGCAAGTTGTATTTTATTTTTATCTTGAGTTAGTTGATGCCGGCTTTTTTTTAGGTTCTTGGTCAACTTTTCTAAGGGTATTTTGCAAGATATAACAATGTGACGTCTAAGTGCATGATATAAGAGTGGTGGGATAGAAGAGACATAACCTAAAGTGGGTGATAAACGTCAAGAGGAAAGTGTCAACAAAAAAAACACAAAAGAAACAACAAAAATATCTTCTTTTTTTTTTCACTTTTTGAGGTCTCAATAGCTAAATTTATTATTAATATGTATTTTATATTGTTATTCACGGCACAATACTGATTTATGTAACAAATGTAATCAAATTAATGCAACTATGTAAAACTTCATTTGGAATGTCATTGTCATCGTCATAACAAAAGGCATTCATAAAACAACCAACGCGAATGCAAGCGATCAAAATAACTTTTTCATTTTTTCACGTTTTAGTTTTTCATTCGCATCACGTTCGCTCAAGTTAATTTCCAACAACGGAAGCAAACATAAATATAACCTAATGATAATAACCACACAAGAAAATTATATTCTATCTAATAATACATCTTAAACTGCGTGTGGCTTGATTAAACGCTTTATTTCATTTATGATTGTTTACTTTCTAAATTAACTTTTAACATTTTGAACTTAAACTTTTGATACGTGCGTGTTTACTCTCTTCGCATGCTTCGTGTAGCGCAAGAAATTGAAAAATAAATTTACAACGCTTACTAAAAAGATATTAAACAGGCAGTCGCCGTGAGAAGACGGCCAGCTGAGTTTCCAAAAAAATCCGACACAAAGTAGATGAAAATTGAAAAATTAAGTCGGCGAACAAGAACAACAAGAAACAAGCTGAGGTAACAATATACTTCTTACCGCGAGCTAAGAGAAAGTGTAAGAAGTGAAAATTTGATAATGATATGTAAATTTCCTTATAAACAACAAAAATTATGGAAATATTTGATGAGAACACAAATTTATGCGGTAGCAATCTTTGAAATCACAAAGTTTCCACTGTAGAGTTATTTTTTGTGCTTTCATGACAACATCAAAGAAATATTTGTGTTCTTTGTGCGTTTTAACATAACTTAACCTATAAAAGAACCGAAACATAACCTCAACACTGTATTACGATGAATAGGCAGTCACATAATTTATTTTTTGTTTCTTTTGACACGAAAACATATCGAAATACTGCTCGTTGCTACTGAGTCGCTGACATTGACATGAATAGGTGTTTTCCGAGTTTGCTAGCAAAGCAACACGCTCGCTTTAGCCGATCGCAAATGAAGCGGAACACGTCTCAAGCGCGGATAAGCACTGCAAGTGTATTGACGACAATATCCGTTCTATTCAAGGATATCACAGGTCGCCACACGTTACAATGAGCAACGCCCATATTTCTTCGCCCTTTGTCTTTGACTTTGTATGTTTATACACCCAAAAAAAGCTTTCATCTTTTCTTTCACACAAAAAAGTAAAAAAATAATTTTTTTTCTAAAATTTTCTATTTTTAAGTTAAAAATGTATAATTTTTACCTGTTGGACTTGGTGTCATCTCCTTCATGACAATATGCACATGCAGATCGTATTTTTTGAAAAGCATCGGAAACTTTCTCTGCAGAGCATATTTTGCGGATGTGACTGCTTTGGTGTATTCACGAGTACCAAACGACTTATAGGGTACAACCATCCCGACGTGAAGACGCGGCAGGCCGTAGGCGGTCGGTGCCGAAGGTGTTTGAATTTGTTCCTCGTCATCCGGCGCAGCAGTTGTCGTTGTTGTGCGTGTGGAACCCCGAGTGCCAACGCCGAGACGCAACCCGCTGCCGCGTTGAGTCCCACTTGATGAAGATCCGGCGGTTTGGTCACCGCCTCCGCCTCCTAGTTTGATGCCTCCGCCGCGTTGCACACTCTGGTCTTTCCACGCCGGCCCGCCGCTCACCGCCGCCGCAACCAAGAGCATCACGAAGAACACCACCGAACTCATCTTCACTCGTGCATCACACATGCACACACCTTTTTTATAAATATTTTCTCGCTAACACTTAAAAACACTTATTACACACTAATTTACTTATATTTTAAGTTTTTTTTGTAAATGTTACAATTTTTATATATTTTGATATTGACGGTATAAATATTAGTTTAGTTTATTTGTTTATATGGCAGTTTTCTTAAGTCTAATCGCATGTTAAAACTTTTCAAGTTTTCGCAAAACTTTTCTGCGTAACATTTTTTTTTTCTTCGTTTGGAGATGGAGTGTAAATTTGATTTTAAGCGCGTTTGATTTTTTGTGTAGAGTAAAAAGTTTGAAACTCGCGATGCGCGATGTCCTTCCTGCTGGACGAGCCTGGAAGGGGGCGGTAGCCGGTCGGTCGGTGGCGGCTGCCCGTGTTGCGACGCGCGTTGCGTTCGACGGCGAACTGAGCGATCGCAAGGCGCGTCGCGACGCCGAGCCGCGCGAGTTTACACGAAACGCTGCCCCAAACCGGAGGGACGTTATCCTCAGCTTGACGCACGCAGATCGTGGATCCGGCGATTCCAGTTACGCCCGTTTTTCACAAGAATTTCATTACGTTTACAAATAAAACACACAAATAAAATATCAATACGTTATTTCAAAAATAATATTATTTAAAGGTTATGTATAATATAAACCAAAAACTAGGTTATAATTTTAATTAATTTAATGTTTTTTATACTTCTAATTACAAACCATAGCTAATTATTTATTTAAACTATTAAAATAATGAATTTTTATGTTATGTAAATATTGTGGCTTGCAATTTGCTTGAAAAAAACACCGTAAACAAAAGGAAATCAAAAATTTATTTACGCAACTCTCCAACTTGTCCAACATCTAGTGCAGTTTCAATAGTATATAACTTTTCATTCGATTCGATTTCATTCGCTAACAGACTCTTTCCCCAAGTCGTGCATACCGCATAAAAGTTAAGCCGCCACACAAGTTAACAAAGAAGTCAAAGCAGCCAGAAAGAAAAAGCGAACTGGACAAACAAAAACTTTTCCCGGAGGCAAAAGCTAGATAAGAATGGCGAGCGATTGAAAGAGGGCGGATGCGGCACGCAATGCCACGTGGCGTGGAAATTAAATCCTGCTGACTTTTCCGCCAATTTGCCAATTTCTTCGATTTCTCTGGATGCGGCTTTTGTTTCCAAACAGGTTTCCCAACGAGTGTATTGATATCTGAACTTGAGATGTAACTCGAGTTACAGATAAAGTTACACTGGAACTTGGAAAACTTCCATAATTTTCTTTTTTTGCTTTTTTTGTCGCAAAGATCTTTATTTTTTGTTAATTTGGGGTTTAGCCCAAAATAGATTTTTAACTTCTTTATCATCGTGTTTTGGGCTTTTTACTCTTTTTTACAAGGGTGTTGGTCAGAGGCTTCGTGCCGGAAAGCAAATTAACGCTACGTGACTGCGGCCTTGTTTTTTATTGCTGGTGAAATTGTGGAAACCCCAAAAAAGGAAACAAAAATACCTGCAGGAAATACAAAATTTATAATTACTTCATTTTAAATATGAAATTTATTTAATTTTAAATTTGTTATAAAAACATAAATTTATTCCTTTTTAAAGTTTAAAGTTTGCGCCAGTTATACTATATTTAGTTGTGTGGTTTGATTAAACCTAAAATAAATTCTCGGGATTAAATGAAATTAAATGCACTCGGCATGCGGTTGAATGCGTGTCGCTATTTATCACCTCATTCCATTCCCTCTTGCACTACCCTCGTCGCGTGCTCTGTTTGTTTTCTTTTGTCCCGTCGTTGTCGCTCTGTACACAACATTTAACGACAAAATATGATCTCGTTTGTCTTTGGCCCGCGTTCTTAATTCACTAGTTTATCTTCTTTTTTGTTTGGCGGGGTGGTTTATTTAACGTTTTATTTTTTCGCTTAGCAAAACCAACAGACAAACAAACAAACGAAATGAAGTAAGTAATCGAAAAAGTGTAAAGTTGCAAACAGAAATGTTTCCAATTAAAACTTAAATTGGTTTAGAGATTACTTGCAGGTGAAAATTTAATAACATGTAAATAAATTGTGAGCAATTACAACTTATAGTGCTATCTATTGACACGAAAAAAGACTAAAATTCAATAACATGAATGAGTTTGTTTTAATAGTAATGTAATAATGAAAATTGTTATTAAAAAATTGTTAATGAAAAATAATTATTTAAAGATATTTTAGTTTATTTATTTAAATTGATCTGCATAAATTCCAAATTAATTGTAAAATAATTCTAACTAAATTCAGATTCAGTGTACGTTGCGCCATCTGTGCACAAATTATCGAACTTAATACTCACCCAAAGCCAAATAGCAAAAAATATTTCACTTTAATGCAAACTTTGATTAATATAATAAATAAATTTACTTAAACATATTGTTTTAATACTTAGTTTTGCAATTTTAGTAATACTTCTACGTAAAACTAAATTCTTAAAAAAAAAGTAATTTTCCTCGCTATTTTGGCTGCCTACATTAAATGATACAAACCAATATCCTTTTTATTTCATAACAGGAAAATGACGGAAGTCTAAATGTTAATAATACCTTCTACTCTTAGATAAATTCAAGTTTAAACGCTATAGGCAAATTGAAAGAGAAGGTATCTAATAAAATCGATGCATATACTTAAAAAATAATAAACGCACGCGTCTCTTAAAACGCTCACTTTTTCTTCGCTCGCTGAGATTGCGGAAACCTTGCCGCGTTCCATTATAATATTCCAACGGCAATTCCTCTTAACGCGCGCGCTAATTAATGAAAACGTAATTAGACAAGGCTAACACGTTGACATCTGGACGCGTGTGCAGTCGCCACACAATGCTATCGTAACACTATCGCCGCACAACGGTGAAAACCGTAAAAGATATGCAAATGAAAATCAATCAACAAAATTGACGCAGCAAATATAACAATTTAAGCCTACTACCTACTTAAGCTAGAATTGTATTTATAGGTCTATTAGAACCGGCCCTGAATTTAAATCATTTACATGTGGAGTAATTGTATTGTAAAACAGTTGACATTGTCCGCGTTCACGTAATCTTGTTTTCGTTGTTTTTCTCCCATCGCCCGCTGCTAATAATAGTCGATAATATTAATTATAAAGCAATACGACCATTATTGACAAATGTTTATAATTAGAGCGTTTTTTGTTAGCAAGTATTTTGTTGAGACACGGAATCGAGATCGTGTAAAATGTAAGAAAACAAAGCGACGCGTGATGAAATTAAACGGAATGTCACGATCATGAGAAATAAATTTTCAGGTTTGTCCTCGCCGCAATCAGTTTATAAATTATTTCATGCAATTAACAGACATAAATATCATTACGGGCGTCATTTTATGGACCTGTTTTCAAACGTTGCTAATTGCCATTAAAGTGTTACTATAAAGAATTCTTCACATAAAAATTAAACTGAGTTCAAATTTGAACAATAAATAATTAAAAATCAGACTTATAACGAAATATTTCAACTTATTTACCAAAAATTAAATAAATATTTATTGTTTACGTCTAGTTTACTCCGCGGACATTTATCTTCACACTTCTCGTATCTTGCTGTGTGTTACCCTTCAAACTGTTTGATACAATAGCATCTAAGACAGATTGATTGAATTTGAACACATTTTTAAGAAGTTAGTATTATAAACAGTAGACTTACATTCTATACAAAAAATAATTTATTATCTTTAGAATCACTGATTATGTTAACGAAGTGAATAGTTCTTATTTACCCACAAAACTAAAATATTTGAGAAACATTTTTCCTTTTTACAAAAATTTTAGGTATGAAAAGTCGTTTTAATCTGGATATTATTAAAAATAACAGCTATTTATGAAAGTACAATGTTGCCTTTCATGTTGAGGTGTTGCCATATGCAACCTTTAATATATGCAACCTTTCAAGCATTTTCGTTCAAATAAAACCTTATTTCTGACATAAAACAATAAAACCATTGAAACGTGAAACATTCAGTTAAAAATTTACAGTTCATGCACCCAAAATTATTGTTTTTGCAATATTTTAAACATAAAATACACGGAAATAGTAATAAAAAAATATACACTCAAAATAATTTGCTGTTAAAATTGTGTTTAAAGTGCTTTAATGCGTTGATAGTCACATCTAGCATTGTGAGCATTGTGCAAAAATTATTGATGAAGCGTACAAGGAGAAACTAGAAGGATATTTGCGCGTTTTGCGCGTTCGCGTTCAAATCGGAATTTTGTTACCCTCGATGCGCGAAATAATTGAAATAATTGTGTTGATATCCGATCTTAATAACATAATTCTCAACGCGCTAGGTTAACTAAATTAAATGTTATACATTAAAAAGTTGGTTAGAGTTGTTACATTACATTACTACATATGCATACCACAATACACATCTTATTAAACACATTATAAAAACATTTCCAAAACAGTAAATCAAGTTCATGCACCTAATGAAATAACCGCAATTATTTTGCGGTTTGCGTTGGGATCGATAAACATTTAATTAGATGTTTAATTTCTATCTCCGACAGATCAACAATTTGTATATATAAAATATTTCAATGTCAAACTTTTCAACATTTCAATAACATGTACAATGATTTAAACTTTTAAATATTTACTTCTATAACACTGCAATGTTTAATATTTTAAATAAATATAAAATCAATTTAAACGTTCTCGTAAATTTTATATCTTGAGGCTTTATTGACGATTATTGCTAAATAAAAATCATTGAAATAGATTTATTGAACGTCGATATCTCGACAAATATCTGCACCGAGACCACGAAACAAGATAGATGAATGAAAGCCAGCGAATATGATTGTGATTATTACATTAACGTTAATATAACGTCAATAGTAACGAGCGCGTTGCGGATATAACTTATGCCTGGCGGGTACTCAATTATGCGATTTAATGAATCGTTGTTTAAACGTTAAAGTTCATTAATATCCGGTTTTATTCAAGCTGAAACTTATATTGATATAGGTCAAAGAATTGTTCACATAAAATTCATTTTTTGTTCATATTTAGGTCGATATAGGACGCGACTATAGGCAACTAACATTACACTTAAAGTTTTGATCGGTGTGTTGCATAATTCATTCATTTTTATTTGAGTTGCAGTACAAACTACATTAACATTAACATTAACTTTAATAAAGAAACATTAATGTATTTCTAATGTTTATAGTTTGTCTTTAAATAATAACTATTCACTTTATTCATGATTATTCTACCGCACATCCAGGGATAAATAATAAATATTTTTCTGTAAAGAATATAATTCTTCATTGTATATAATAGTAACTTCCTATAAATCTGTGCAAATCCGTAGAATATACGTTAGATGCTATTGTATCAAACAATTTGAAGGGTAACACACAGCAAGATACGAGAAGTGTGAAGATAAATTGTCCGCGAAATAAACTTGAAGTAAACAATAGAAATTTCTTTGATTATTGCGCGTACTCATGCTTAATGCTCATGTTCCTCTGATCTTGCGGCTGGCGGATGATACGCTTCGCAGATTCAACAAGGTTTTGTTGCAAGTTTGCATTTTTTACACTTTAAATTTCTTCCATTAAATAATAAAAAAATAAATAAAACAAATTTAATAAAATTGAAACTAAATTTAATGTTTTAGATGTAAAAACTATAAACTTACTTAATAAAAATAATATAAAATTAACTATTGTTTGGATGATCTTGAGTTAAAATTACATTCTCGATATCTCAAACATTGATCTACTTTTCTAATTTTTAATGTGCTGTATAATGCGGCATGTGTGTTTTCTATGCAGGTGCAGTGCGTGATCTTGATACATCTCCTTTCATTTGACATTCGATTTTTAATTTCGCATTCGACAATCCAATCCAATTACGGCATATTAAAACTTATTTATTATTTAAAGTGCTAGTTAATCTAAAGTGGGATGAAGGTGAAATTGAATTATTTTTACCTCAAAATTAGTTCTATATTATTTTAATACATTTTTTGCTATTATAGGCATACCACAATACGCAATACCACAAACCGCCATTTTTTATAAATGGTTTCCGGAAGTTAAATTGTCTTGTCATGTTTGTGTTAATTGTGTCTATTAGTTATTTCCTTCCATTGGTTCTTGGTGATTCATTTCTTTAAGCATTCGGTTTGTTTATTTGTTTGTTAAAGAATATGTATTAATAATATTTTATAAAAAGTACGTATTTGGTCGGTGGTCGGCGTTATGCTTTAGTAACAATATCCGGCTCGCACCGGCGCATGTGCCGACGAGTGTAACAACAATAAGGAAGAAACTTCAGGAAGGAGCGGTTCCACAACAGTCGGGCACTAAGGTCACTTTTTGTTTCGCACCGATATAATTACAAATCAATCAATAACGCTTCTAATCAAATAGACAATTAGTATGTGTCGAATTTATTAAGATTTAATATCACTTGGTAAACTTGTGAGACCTTCAGATGAACACATCAAAATTGTTTTTAAGAAATCTATAGGCAACCACCTGTTCATTAAATTTACATAAAATGTGATTTGTGTCACGTGCGACTGAATCAATATATTTTTAGAAATATGTGTTAATTAAAAAGGCGAGACATTCCGTTCAAAAAATCGTAGACTAACAAATTATTTAAACATTATTCGCGTTAAAAGTGTTAACACACTCCATTTTTGACGCCATCAATGAGGGAATATAATAAGTTAATGAAATTGTTTTGACAAAACGCCTGAAATCATTGAATATTATATTGCTATAATGCCGTAATGCTAAATAAAGAAATTAGCAAGATAAATTAACAGATTCTAAATCTAGTTCCAGTTCATCAAAATTTTCCATTGTGAAATTTGAAATGTGCAGAAAATTTTTGTATTTTGTTGCTATGTGATGAAATCTTGCATAAAATGATATGAGTATCCGGTAAGCATTTTACTTTAGTAAATTTTAGATTGTAAAGGAATAAAAGAGAAGAAAACAAATTAAAATCTTGTTTGAAGGCAACACGAATGGAATAGAACCGTCTAATTATAACAACATGGTCGGAAAATAGAAGTGAAACCGAAATAAGAATAGATGCATCGACGTCAGTAACCAACACAAAATAGAATACAAATAATAGGATATTCAATTCAACTCGTTTCTATTCAGGACAATTCGTGGAAAATTATACAAATGGTAATAGGTAGGCAACCAAATATGCTCATTAAAAATTTAAAAGCAAACAAAACAAAATCTACGGATAGAAACACATTGTATGTTATATTGCAGGTTTATTCGTGGTTACTTCTGGTTGGAATCGGTTCTGATCCGTCTTCACCTTCTCGCTAGTTGACTTTTACATTGCTCTTTGCTTATTACCCGCTGATTGTCTGCTTTGTCTATTGCTTTAGCATTGCTTGTAGCGCGCGCTGTCAAGAGGGGATGTTTCAAGGCAAAATCAGTAAACATACACGGCGTCCGGCGTCGCAGGACGCTGCCCCCCAAAACACCAACACACCGCGTTACTATAAAAACGTCCCCGCGTTCCAACGGCGGTTTAGTAATCCTGCGACGAGCCGTAAGCGGACACGCGTCTGTCCACATCGGTGGTCATTACAGCAAGGATTAGGATTGATCGTGCTTATTAGCAACCGACGCTTTGCATGGTTTGATTATAAGCAGCGATTAGCCTAACCTTAAAATTTAACCTAAAAAACGCGCAAAATTTAACCGCATTTCTTATAAAGAGTTATGTATTAAGAGTTGCCTACTTAATTTTAAATCGGTAATTACCCGGGAATTTAACAACAAAATGCCACCACAGGAGACATACACGTGCCCAGCGGAGCAATCCTCGACGCATGCAACGCCAATGCACAGTCCAACTCACCCCAATTTGGAGAATGTACAACCACCCAGTTTGAGATCCGATAAGTTGGGAGAAGGTTATGTGAATGATGCTTTCGTCGGAGGACAAGCAGATGCAAAGAGTATTACTTCATGCACTGATGTGCAATCTGTTAATAATGGTCAAGATGGCGATAAGGATGCGTTTGATTTTGATGATCTTTTACCGCATATTGGCGAATTCGGACGTTACCAAATCGCGCTCTTTTTCTTGATGATTCCTTTCGCGTGTTTCGTCGCCTGGGTTTACTTCACGCAGATTTTCATCACGCTAGCGCCAGAACAACACTGGTGTTGGGTGCCGGAACTAGCAAACCTCACAAAAGGACAAAGGTAAGCAGAGAACTTAAATTTTTTAGGTTAGTTTCTAAAGAAAATTAATTTAATGACATTTAGAAGATAATTAAACTCTACAAAAATAGATTACCACATAGAATATGTATTAAGGTCACTTAAATTACACCTGCTACCCTTATTAGAACTAATTTCACAAAATAGAACAAGAAAAGGACAAGAACAAAAATAAATATATCTATTGATTGAATACTCAAACAAATTCAGTTAAAAATAAATTGAATATAAGAATAAAAGCAATAAAACACGGGTAGAAATGTAATTTGTTTAAAGTTTAACGAAACGCAGCCTTGACGGTTATAATTATTACGTAAAATGCAAAAAGTAAACGCAAAATGATTTATATAGTATTATTTTATTAAATCAATAAACTATTTTACTTTCCTATGCGCTAACGCGCATGCGCACTCATAACCTGATGTCATAACCTAAAATATAACATTTATCAATGAAAGGATCACGTATATCATGTGTAATTCTTTGCTAGGCTTTGCTTCATGCGACATTGACCATGTTGCTTGTTGCACTCGAAGGTCTCCAGCGCCGTTCGCTCGGCAAGACGCAAAGAGCCTTCAGCAGTCAACGCACAACTCAACCAAACCACATTAAATTCTAGCAGCATAAAAACTCTAAACACATTGTATATATCCGCATAATTTGGCACGCTTCGCTAGCAATCGGTTATCGGTTTAAGAGAGGAAGTTACTGCAACGTTTTTTTTTGCTTCTACGTTTTACTTAAAACTTTTAAACACTTGTTAATCGACTAAATAGTTATTTTCACTTTTCTCGTTGGTTTAATGAATAAATATGCAATATAAATCAATTATATTTAACAGCAAACGCAGTAATTATTGAAACATGTTAATTTCGAACGTTTGAAACCCAACATTACAACAATATAACATTACACTTTGATGAAATAAGTGGATAATCACGTGTGTTTTGCGTTTACGCTCGTTTACACTCGTTTTGCACAATGTCACACACACTCGCTGGAGTTAAATGTCACACAGATAATTAAATTATGTTTCTTGTAGTCTTATTCTGATAATTACTATAATATTAGATATTTAGATATTATTCTACGAAACTAATAATATTCAACCTTTTGTTGTCATTCTGAAAGTCTAAAAGTGATTGCTAGGAGACTACCCAATAAAAATTTGGGTTTACATGTTATTAGATTGATTTTTTATTCAATAAATTTTTTTTGTTGTTGTTTTGCGCATGCGCAGATAGATTTCTGTTTATATATTGCAATCAGTATATATCACGATAATTATTTATGTTAAATTAATATGTATCTAACTAAAATTGAATGCATAGAATTACCATCCATTATCCGCCTCTAAGTGTTTATCTGTTTATCATAAGCGTTTAGTCCTTTCTGCGTTGCGCAACGCCCGCAATCCCGGAGCGGGCCGCGCGATATGATTGAGCGTACGAGTATAATTATGCGGGTTGAAGCAATGCGAACTTGAGGCGAGCGAAACAATATGGCGATCACATTGCTGGTGTTGCAGCAATGGCGCATTAAATGCGTTTATAGACGGTGTTCTGCTCTGATTGTGTGAACTTCGGCCGCCGCCGCAGCCCGCAAGTGGGTCGCGCGACGCGTCCGCTTTGTGAATGTGCACGAATAATTGTTTATTGCATTTCAATCTGCGAAAGATAAATAATTGAGTGGAGCATTCAACTAACAATATAAACAGAAGCCATGTGCGGACATTCGTTTAATTCTATAAGAAATTCCATGAGAAAACTTTGTAGGTTATTTTATTGAAGTTATTATGATAATAACAAATGGTAAAACAAAAAGTGTTTTAGTTAATGTGTTTATTATTCATGTATGTTTTTGTAACCTCAAATCGACGCCCTCATTTTATACATGAAAAACTTTTCCATGAAATAGAAAAACACTTTTTTTCTTGTTGACACGTTAAACATTTAAAGAAGAATCATTAGTAAAATGTTTACATGCCATTTTGTTTTCATTTGTTTTTCGGCTTTTTTATTTGGGGTAATCACTACTTTTACGTCAATGCAATAATTTATAGATTGCATGATATTTTAGGAATCAAGTTAATCAACAACTTTTTTATTTTTGTGTTTTACACCAAATTAAAGCTATTTTTCTTCTTTTTTCTATGACGCGACATTCCTAACCTAAATTAACACCTATTCATAATGCCAAACGTCGCGTCAAATAAAAAAATACCAATCAAACTTATTCTAAACAATTTTTATTTAAAAAAATAACAGAAAATTATAGTAAAATACGTAAATATCTTAATGTGTAACAAATTAAACGTTGAACAAATAGCAATGACACTCTAACCCGAAACGTGTTGGCACTGCTGGCATCATTTTTAACCAGCTCACGGTTCACCACTTTCAGCGCTCTCAAGATGTCCAAACAATGCGAATAACAATCGTTGAATGCAGCATAATTGCTCTCATTGCCAATTTCTTACATAAATCTATTTTTACACCACGTGCACAACATAATCTACGTTCCTAGATTAAAATATTATTGTTTGACAAGTTACAGCTTGATTAATTGATCTTTGATTGTTCAACGTTCAACTTAATCTCAACGCGTCAGAACTGAGTAATTAACTAATGTAATTACATAACGCAGGAAAATACGGATGGAATACGGTGTTAAATAACTTGTTTACGTTTTGTTCAATCATTCATTCATAATTTGATGAGATCAAATGCAATCCTACGTCATTTAATTTTATTTTAATTTTATGTTTATTAAATTAGTTGTATCAGTTGTATAAATTTACAATAAGTTATAAAAAACATAAACCAGAAGTAAACACAACAAGCACACAAAAAATTAATAGCGAAAGATGAATGAACGTGAAATAAACTTCCTAACATTCTTTTGACTCTGACTGTGAGTCTAGTCTTTAAGTGCGTAACGTTAGTAATAAGGGGAATCCCAAGGTTGCTCGAAGCATAGTCAGTAACCATGTGCTCAACATCATCATTATTAACGCGATCAAATTTCGGAAAATGATGATTCATTCTCGCGTATTGATAATTGCTTTTGTTTATGCTTTGTTACTAATCTGCACACACATACGTGCATATACAAAGTATTATCTTGTTTATAGTACTAAACAAAGTGGATTTTGTGATTTTTTCAAAGTGCTAGTTAAAATAATTTGCAATTTCAGTTCAGGTAATTTGTAATTTGAGACGCGAACGTCAACAACTTCAATTATTGAATTTGTTTGTTTATTGTTAGCGAAAAAACCCACCAACTATGAACTTTGATTACTCAGGTAATTTGATATTAAAATTATTGTGATTTTTTTCTATTTGTGGTTGAATTAAAGTGTGAAATTAGTAATTATATTTTGTGGTAAATAATATTGTAGTATATGAACCCGGAAATTATTTAAGGAAATACTTCTTTGATTAAATTAAAAAATAAAAAATAAATTAAAGTCAAAATAAGTCGCAGTTACATTGTGTTAATTATAACTGCAACGAAATTTACATAATTTTAAAATTTTTTGAGTGTTTTTTTTTTATTATGTTGGGACAAAAATTTGGAATAATGTTATCACTAACATAGTTTTGAAATATAGCTGGTACATTTCCTCATACTTTCAGATAAATTAGTATATCTAGATGCAAATTATGGAAATATTTTTTGATATTGCATAATAATTTAAGGAAAATGTCAAATATTTCAATATTGCAACAATTTTTTATACAAATTTTGCGTTTAACTTTTTTAATTTTTCATTTTTTCACAATTTATCGAATGTATGTGATTTGCTTGACTCTCTGCTGCGTCCGTCGCCGATTGTTGTTAATCACCTTGAGAGTCCGGGCATTATTTTTGCATTCATTACGGTTTTGCGTGAAGAAATCGGCCGGCTGCCCGCGTTTTATGCGAAACGATTGCGATTAGCATTAACACACTTCTCGACCGACCGACCAAGTTCACTTCTATTACTTACATGCCTCGCCAATGTGTAATGTGCACTTACCGCTATGCGCCAACTGCAGCCAGCGATTACAATTAAAATTATTAAATGTTGCCGTTTGATTTTTACAGCACGCGTCTACAATTTTCTACGATAATCGTACATAATTCAAATTTTAATGCACGGTTATTATCTCTTTTGTGTTCAATTCGTGTGTAGTGTGTACAAATCAAAGTATTGAGGTTAAATATGTCAAATGTCAGAAAACAGAGCTGCCATCTATCAAAACTATGATATAACCTTAAACATTAAACTGTTTATTTATTGTTATAATTTATAGCAATTAACAACGAAATTTATTATTTAAACCTTGGCAATTTGTACAAGTTAATTGCAAACCAAACATACAACATACAACAATCTTTTGCATATGCAAACAGTAATTAATTAGTGTTTATTTAAATTTTCAGAATGCACTTAGCCATACCGAAAACTAATGACGTACACGATCGTTGTCGAATGTACGCTGTGAATTACACAGAAGTTCTGCAACAAGGACTTGCCGAACCGGATCCAACATGGCCGACGGTCGGATGTCGCAATGGCTGGGAATATAACTACACAGATGTACCATATGCAACTATTGCATCTGAAGTACGTATATAAACTCATAGATGGCGATACTTGTATTGTATTCATATTAAAATATTGAAATGTTTTTGTTTAGTTGGATTGGGTTTGTGATAACGATTCACTACCCACAATCGCACAAGCCGTGTTTTTCTGCGGTGCCATCCTAGGCGGTTTGGTTTTCGGCTGGATCGCTGACCGTCAGGGCCGGGTCGCCGCCCTCGTGGGTACCAATTTCGTCGGCGGCGTTGCCGGAGTCGCCACCGCTTACTGCGGAACATTTACTGCATTCTGCATCTGTAGATTCTTCGTTGGAATGGCGTTTGACAACTGTTTTACCATGATGTATATTTTAGGTAAGAATAATAAATAATTAAATAGAAATTGCAGTAAAAACTCCATTGATTAAGAGTTCAGCGTAAATACACAATAATTAATTAGCAAAATTACAAATGAGTTAAAACTAATAACACGGCGAATCAAGGCTCACGCATTAGCGTAATAACTAATAAAGACAAACTGAGGTCACCGGCGAAACGAGACTTTGAAGAAACTCTTTGAATCATTCAATATTAATTTATTATTAAACACAGCCGAGTTTCAAACATTTTGGAATGAAACCTTGTGTAGTGCGTTGAATATGATGCAAAAAATACATGTACATATTTAATTTAGTGAAATGAGTACGTTTTATGATTATATTTTAATTTTATAAGCATTTAATTATTGATATCTTGCTGGAAACTGTCGAGATGTACGCGCACAATTACTGCAATTTTTCTCAACGTCACCTTGTGTGATCACTCGCATTATAAATCAATGCGCACAAGAATAACGCGAATTAATCTGGAATTTTCATGCAGATCTCGCGTGATTCACTGCAATAAATTATAAACTCAGCTACTTACGCAATTAATTAAATAATCATTGCTTGATTGATTTTATTTACAGTATTGGAATATGTTGGACCAAAATGGCGGACGTTTGTTGCCAACATGTCAATCGCCATCTTTTTCACCGCTGCGTCAACGGTATTGCCATGGATTGCTTTGTGGATCTCCGACTGGCGTTTGTTGTGTATTGTTACATCAACTCCTCTTTTCATTGCTTTGTTGACTCCATGGGTAGTGCCCGAAAGTGCTCGTTGGTTAGCTTCGCAAGGAAAAATTGACAAAGCTATTGGCATTCTACGTAAATTTGAAAGGATCAACAAACGCTCTGTTGACGAAAAGCTCTACAATCAATTCACTGCGAGTTGTTTGAAATCACAAAAGGAAGAAGAGGCAGCCCAAAGGTCTTATTCAGTATTGGATCTGTTTAAAACACCGCGCCTGCGCAGAATTACTATTTTACTGATTTTTATCTGGATGGCAATTTCTTTGGTTTTTGATGGTCATGTGAGAAACGTTGGAAGTTTAGGTCTGGATGTTTTCTTGACTTTCTCAATTGCGTCTTTCACTGAATTCCCAGCGGATACTTTCCTAACCTTTACTCTTGACAAATGGGGTAGAAGATGGTTAGCGTGTGGATCTATGGTATTAAGTGGAGTGTTCAGTTGGCTCGCCATTGCAGTACCATTAGGTGAGTAAACAGTAAAAATAGTAAAAGTTAGGTTATGTATAAATAATAATTTATTGCAATAACATCACTTTACTCCACTGATTCCTTTGACGGCGGTGGACATGAAGAACATGTTTTCTTTTTCTTCTTCGGGCATGGTTTACAATCGTCATTTTCGTCGTCGCCATCATTTTCATCAATTATTATATCCGCAGTTACTTTCTTACATCTTCTACGTTGGTAATACACTTGAGCGTGACGCGCCATTGCAAATATCGCCATTGTTGTTTCAAAACCAATTGAAGGGATGTGTTTCTTGTGCGGAGTAAAACCGGAAGTGCCATAACCTTGCAATTCGAAAATGTAGGAGAATTTTATGCCGTGGACATAACGGGCGTAATCTGTGCTGGTGCCAGCTGCTAAATCTAAAATATTAGAGGTTAATAAAATTTGGAGGTTATGATTTAACCTCAATTGTTGAGTGATTTTAGTGCGTACTCATAATTTTTGCGGCGTTTCCAACTCGCATTTTACGTTTTCCTTCCGAATGTTTACAAATTGCGTTTCGTCCATGCATTGCACATTCAAACAAATCTTGACAATCGGGTATAGGTGCTTTGGTAAACGACCATGGATACAATATGGCGTTGCCGTAACAATGTAAACTTATGTACAGTATAATTTTCTTGCAATATTTGTTGATTGCAAACGACATAGCTTTACTAGCTGGTTCACTAAGCGGTTCTTCACCTCGGTAGTTAAATGAACCAGGATCATCACTACTCCCAGGCACTATAAAATAATTAATTAGTAATTATTAACGAAAATGAGTATTTGAGTAACTTACATGAGAATCCAATAGGAAAATTACGATTTAAGTCAACTCCTTGTAAAGTGACATCTGATGAACAATTCAACGTTCGATTCTTACGCCATAGTCGATACTACAACATAACCTCAATATAACTTAACCTTATTTTCATAAAACTTGTGATTTACGCATTTATTTTCCATGGAGAATATATAACCGTCTACATTCACACAGGGCACAATGTAATAGTTTATATGATCCAGTATATGATGATTAAGGATGATATAGTTGATAAGATACATTGCAGTGGATGTAGACAACCACTCGCGTGCATGTATGGTTGCATCAACAAACACAATATCGCGTGCTTTTGATTTTGAACTACACGCGTCTTTCTGTAGTTTGATCATGTATATCTCGGCCATTTGTGTTGTGATTCCAATTATTTCAATTTCGGCTAGATGTGGATATGTTCGACATATTTCACCTAAATAAATTTTGATCTAAAGCAAATAAGAAGAAACAAAACAAATTTATGTTTAGATTTGAGTTAGGATAGTTCTTGTTCACCTCTAAATAAGTTGGAAAGTCAACAAATGGATAGTATGAATATTTTTTGCGACAGCCCGGTTTATTTGCCATTTATTTATTGTTGTACTTCACCCACAACTGAAATGATGACGTGACTGTCCTCGAATCATCCAAGTAAACATTTCTTCATAATTTTCTTTTAATTTCTTTCCATTTGTAAATATTATTCACAAAATCATTTTTATTCAAAAATTTGACATTTGCACAAATGATTTATTAACCTGTGACAATTACTCATGGCTTTCTGAGACATTAAAATAAAAATTATTTTACAGGTATTACTTCTGCATCGATGGCCATTATCGGACGTTTCGCTGTTAATCTTTCCTACAACATCGGATTGCAATATGCTGCTGAATTATTACCGACCGTGGTAAGGGCACAAGGTGTAGCTTTGATCCATATTATGGGTTATGTTGCCAGCATTGTTGCTCCGTTCGTAGTTTACTTGGTAAGTGAATACAAGCTCGACACAAAACCGATATTTATTAAATTTATTTCCTTTCAAGGAAAAATTCGATGCTTCTCTACCGTTGTTCATTCTCGGCTTGATTGGAATCATCGGAGGGTTGCTTTCACTCTTTCTACCTGAAACTCTGGATCAAGAACTACCACAAACTCTGCAGGATGGTGAAGAATTCGGAAAAGATCAGAAATTCTTATCTTTCCCATGCATTAGACCGTAAGTAAAATAAACTAAACTCTAAATCTTCAAATTTAACATTATTCTTATATACTTTTAGTAAACCTAGTGCAGTTGAACCACGAGAATATTTCCGCCGCACCACATCCGTTCGAGTTTCAACCTCAGCTTCGACACGTGGCGCCATTCGATCCTCGATGATCCAACGAACAAACTCGACTAGATCCCGCCGCTCCTGCAAAGAATCCAACAGTGAATTGGCGTAACTTAACCTCAATTAAGGATCAGCCGTTGATTTGTGTGATTTAGTCGGATTTCTAGCTGAATTTGTGTTGCTGCGCTCGTTGAGCATGATCCTTGATCATCCATGATCTCGTCGGTGGTTGGTCGGCCATTTGCTGTATGAGACATCCACCAGGTCATTGCAAAATGGCGGTCGCACGCGTTTTTGTTTTTAGTAAAGCTTCTCGTCTGTGGTATTCAACGTGCGCGCCACCGTTTTGATTTTTGTACATATACAGTGTGTCTAGTGTGTTGCATCCAGTAATTATTTGTCTTATTTAATATCCAATGTTAATTATTTTGTATTTTGTGACTCCATCAGCGGAATCGTTTACTTTAAAAGTGATTGCATAAATAAACTAGGTGAAATAAGTTTGGTTATGTTTCATTTTGAAATTATATATGTATTTGTTGGTTCCTATGTACATCATTCAACATTGTTTTACATTTATAACAGCACATATATTTTGTCTTTTCTGTTTATATTACATTGATAGATATATTCTTTAGTGTCAACATGAATGTCTCCTCTGATCCGTGATGAATCCATCACATATTTTCTGATTTTTTGTTTTTTTATGCATTAACTCATCTAACAAACAAATATAAAGCGTTTGTGTGTAAGAATTTTGTTTGATTTGTTCCTAATCTCGTTATGCAACGCAGCTAACATTAAAACAACGCAACACTCATTTGAATTACATCGATTTGATAACATTCAGTATTCGTAATCAGACACAACATTCGGCTCTAGCTGTTTATCATATAAAACGCAAACCAAAATCATAACCTATAATGCATCTACGTATTTAATATCTAGTGTCACTGTGTTATGCATGCAAATGCAGACAAAACAAAATGGCCGCCAGGATCTGCGCCATTTTGTTATTCTACCTTTCTTATTTAACGTATGTTTGCACCTTGTGCAAAAGTTAAAGCGGTGCCATCTTAGTTAATTCAATTTTTTGTTGATCGGTGTTTTATTTTCTACGCATGGCAGTTGTCCATCATGCAGTTAATCTTTAACCTTTAATCTCACTCGATTGTTTCGTGTAACGTGTTTGATAATTTCTCGCAAGCTTTCGTCATTTGATAATTATGGTAGTTATTGTTCGTTTTGCTGATTGTTGTGTAGATATGAATGTCTTTCCACGTGATTGAAGTGATGAATGTCTTGTTGTTTTTGTTCTCATTTGTTTTTTAGTTATTGATTTACGGTGGGGTTGTTCGCTGGCAGGCGCGCGAAGCGAATTAAGATTCGGTGTGTGGGCGTTTTGTCACCCATTCGGCTATGCTCGGCAAAGCGTAGATCTTGTTCTTCAGGGCTTTCAATCCAGGGTAGTAGTCTAGGGAAGATTTACCAAAAATTGCCTCGAAGTTCTCCAACGACACGGCGAATACAAAATCGCACCACGTGATCTAAACCAAATTAAACATTTTGTAATAATAATGAAATTAAATTGTTTTTGATGGTAATTCGTTTAACGTCGCCATTTTCACTCACAGAATCGCCGACGGAGAAGCCATTATTCTCGGCGACAATCTTCTCAAACTTGGAGAGGTAGAAGGGGATCGTCTCTCTCATTAGTTTCGCCTTGCGTTCCTCCTTTTTAATTGGATCCGTTTCGGTCCGCAGCTGCCAGAGCACTGCGAAAAGGACGAGCTATTATTGCCGCCGGACAAAGGAGACGCACGAGACGTGATCCGATCAGATGACGATGAGATGTTTACTCAAACAGTTCACGATCAACACGAGGGTTATTAAGATGCAGGAAATGACCACAAAATGGCGTCGCTAACGTGCATCACTTGCAAATTTTCAAAATGTCACAACAACGAAAACTGAAGTTGGTGAAAATAGTGTGGTTGATAGATTGGCGTGAGGAAAAAGAACATCACGCGGCGTGTGTCGGATGCCCGGTTAATTAGTTTCACGTCAAATACAAACGCGGCGGCCGACATTCAACCCCGGACGCGGTAGCGTGTCATCTCCTCAATCAAAAGCTTTGTGTTCGGGTTTTGACATTCGTTCGCGTTGCCAATTTCGACGAAAATCAAATCAAAACATTAATTGCACACAGTAATTCAAGACGCTTTCAATTCAATTCAATTCACTTCGATTGTTTATACAAAATATAACTAAAACTAGTATCGCAGGTTAATATTTATTTTATGAATGGTAAGAAAACAAAATGCTTTCACGAAAACTTATTCTAACCTTGTTTGAGATCTCCCAGAGTGTCGACAAGTGCATCACACTGCAGCGCTTCCATTTCATCCTTCCCGGTGAGTCCGAACTTCTGCGCTAGATGGCGTGCGATAGCGTTGCTTTGATCTATTTTTTTACCATCGATCTCCAGCACGGGTACCATCCCAAAGGGCATTTCTAAAAAAGTCGTAAATCACAAAAGTTTGCAACCCCTTGAATTCCCCAAACGACAAAACGACAAAAAATAAGATAATCTCTGCCTACGAACGAGAAAAAAATCGCCAAAGTTTAAAAGAGCGCAAAATTTACGTACGTTTCTTCAGCTCTGACCACTTCTCCCTTGGGATGCGTTCGTCCTGATAATCGACGCCGGCGTAGGCGAATATAAAGCGGATGTGTTCCGCTCGGCCTCGCGCGTTGAAATAAATCAATTTGTAATTTGACTGAGACATTTTCAAATCTCGTTTCTGTTTCGCTTCTTTCTTTCAAATTAAACTTGTGTGATGTCCTTGATGTTGGTTACTTGAATCTTGATACGTTTCGCTTCGTATGTTGCGATAATTTGCAATGTGTTGCCCACGCTTGTCGGCAATCTGTTACGATATTACGATGATGAATGATTCCCGCAGGAGTTGTTGCAAACTTGCCGAAGTTTGGCAGTTCGACCGCGTCGCCCTGGAGAACCGAGTCCTTTGTGTCACTGCAAATCAGGCCAAGTAAATACCTTCATCAGTACATGATAATTCGACACGGGAATCAAGTCTTAATTAAGCAAGTTAAACGATAAACAAGGTTATGTAGACAAGGTTGCCTAATGCTGACGATAATCAACTTATTTTCCTGCAAGATGGCAGTGTAAACATACAAATAACCTGAAAAACGTTTAAATTACGATGGAATGATTTTGGACAGAAAAATGTTTCAACATTTATAATTCAACAGTGGGTAAACGATTATTTGAATATTTTATGCGATTGATGGATTGACGGTTCGTTTCTCGTTCCTTATTTCTTATTCTTTCACTCGTTTGACTTGCAAATTGCTTGAATATCACATGCTTTCAAACGCTGAACGCTTCAAAAACTCAAAATGTACCCTGCTTAAAATCCTCCTGTAATTTACAATAATACTTGTTGAATTTGCACTGATTTTGAGTGAAATATTAAGTTATTTTCGGAATTAAATTACGTAATGCTTCCACATCATAAAATTTATTTAAAGAGTAAATACGATGTGAAGAAGCAACAAAAAAGCAAGCACATAGTACATAAAAGCTCGATGGGTCTTCGTGCGCGCGCGCTCGTTGACGAGAATTTTTATTGCGCTCGGTTTGTTCTTGATTGCATACTGAATTCAACGCGTTTTGCGGTTGAATTGTGGCCCTTGTGGTTAATAGCCATAAATCATACTTATTTTTGTCGTCCTTCTGTTTCATGCACTCGTAACTTTTATGAGTTGATTTTCTCTTATTATATTTTAAGGAGATTATTACGTATATATTAATCTAAAAATAAATTGGCTCAAATTTGAGGTTAAACAGCAAAAAAACGGCGAAAGCCTTTCGCAAAGTTATTGCTACATTGTTACGGGGTGTAACCGGTGTAACCTTGCAAAGTTTTAATCGATTCCGGCCCCGATTTCGCACACGTGCACACACATATGTGCGAAAATAAACGACCTACAGACCCAGCGACCCTTCGAACCTTTGGTATCCTTAAAAATAGTTCCGAAATTCACAAAACGCACAAAAGATAAATTTGTTTAGTTATGACTTAATAATAATAGCATTAGCCACTTTCCCTTTGCTGGTAAAAAAAGTTTTTATATTGTTGCGCGCTGTTGAAATCATTTTTTTCATTTCTTATATAAACCGTAACGCGCCCCGAGGTGAAATGGTGTTTTCACCAAGCGAGTGTAAATAATAAAGAAGCACAAATAGAAAGGAAATGCAGGAAAGAAAGTAGTAAACCTACCTACGGACAGAAAAGAAAACAAATATTTGTGTAAAGACAGTATTTTTAGAACAAACAAACTTTAAAATGTTTTGCTAACATAACCTGGGTCTTAGTAAAGATAACTGTCAAAACGTCAAACATTTTTAGGTTATATCTGCGTGCGTGTATGTAACTCTACAAACTTTTGTTCTAACTTTCAATATGACGACATGTCAAACACAGATTACATATCCGTGCACATTTTAAATCCTCATAGAGTTTGTTATACTGCAGGGATTAGAACTACGTGACTTTTTTGTGTTTGGAAAGCTTTGTAAAATGCGTAATATTCTTCGGAAAAGTATCTGTAAAATGTTGAATTTTTATACAGTGTAGATATGTGCGCTAGGTAGTAATTTCTAGATTCTAGGTAAGCTTCAAACGCACGCAGCCGGAGGCGAAATGCAATTAAAAAGTAATTAAACAAGCAAAATGGCCTCTCAGGACCGACCGGCCATCCGTCGATTCTATCGCCAGCATCGTGCGTTTTTCTCGTCTATATTTCCCATCGGATTACAGGAGCAAGCGCAAAGCGACGCGCTAACTGCGAGAAATCCAGCGCCAGAACAAGGATCACGGATTTTGTTCTTTGGGCACAAAATGTAATACGGGCAGCGGTAGTGCTGCCATAAAAGGAAGTAAAGTGTGTTGCAATAGGACAAAGGTATAAGCTGAAATGGAAACAAAGGCTTTCCACTGGGCTTTTCCACTTCATTTCTTAGGTGATACAAATTGTGTTGAAATAAAATTAATTAATGATTTAATTAAATATTGACTTCTTATTTCGAAGTAAGATTTTTTTAGTGACATCAGCAAAATAAAACTTTTTATATTAATTTTGCAACCATCAAAGTAACTAATGAAAGGAATTCATCGACAAAATTAATTTTCTTCAGACGTGGTTTTTCATTACGGTTATTCCGGGAATCTGAGGCAGTTTCTTTTTGTTTGGGGAAAGCAAGCATTACTTTTTTTAACTTTCGGCGGATTTGGCTTTTGTTTCCGTTTTTATCGCCTTTATTTCTTTTATTTTGCGTAATATGATTGAGACTTAAGAGCTTTGTTTGTCCCAGAGCGGATTAACAAAGAGAAATTGCGTTTGCATCAAATTACTTGTCATTCTACCAACAACAAATATATTTATATCAAAGGTTGATCATAATTGGACTCAAAAAATATCAAAATTAAATACTTTTCAAAATCAGTTATTAAATTTACTTTTTTGTTAAAAAAATCAAGTTTTAAAAGTGTTTTAGACCACAAGGACTTAAAACTTACCCCATATTATCAAAAAATAAATTATTATAAAGAAAAAATACTGTGTTGCAATAAATCAAGCCACAAATTCATTTATTTTCACGTAGGGATCGAACGTAGTGGCGTAATAAATGTATTGCGCTTACGTAAAGGAGAGTCGACCACCGACGATGATTCAACGATAAGAATTGCGCAATTAATCAATGGCTTCACTTCTTAGTAATGGCGCTAGCGGACGGTGCCGCTGTAAAACGTGCGTTTAATGCCATGCAACTCAATATTCTGGTTAGAAAACATAATTTAAATTTTAATTGAATTGTTGGAAACCGTTTTTAATTGCGTAAACTTTTTAAAATAAAGTTTACATCAAATTGAAATGTCAAAATTTAATTATGGTTTATTTAATAAAGTTTTCCCGTGATGTTTATTGCAAATATGCTGGTTGGAGTACACCTAAGAGTGGATTCCAGTTTGTTTGTAGCGTGTAACATCCTCACAATCTGAACAAATATTTCGTATTCATGAAAAGCAAACATATTTTCCTCCTGAACGTTTCAGGCGTCTATATTCAAAGTTATAACAGATGTTTTGCATTCACAACAGAAATCCTTAACATATATTTTTCTATTTCTTAAAACAAAATATTTTAACTCTTTAAATATTAAAAATTCAAATTTTTTTCTTAAAAAATTTTAATTTTTATTTTTGAACACTCTGTATATTTGAATGTAAAACTCTTCACCTTGGCGCTATCGAACAGTTTGTCAATAATGCCCGCACACGGAACGCTGGGCAATGTTGGCGTGGCATTCTCTTCTCGCAGGACGCAAAGGTGTTTTCCCCCTTCGGGTCCACAAGTTCTTGCCATGCAGGATTTTCTCACGTCCGCCTCGACCTACCACGCGCAACAATCCGCTCCGCTCGAATTCGTTTGTTTCGTGATGTGTGCGGCAACCTAAAGTGGGGATACCATCTCTCACCGGACCTTTCATTGTCTAATACCTACAATTTTACACTTTCCACCAAAATCGAATCAAATCAAGTTGAAAACATATAAACATGTATTAAGTATATTGAGTTGCATACATTTCTTACTTGGCTAACCTTGACTTTTACGCCATTTTTTCCCGGTTTGCTATTGAGTTTATCAGTTATTATGTTCTTATACGTGCTATATTTAAACTAAAGGTCTTAAAGCTTCGATGGTAATTTATTACACGTTTATTATTCGCACTCATGCGAATGTTGCGCGGTCACGTGACCGGCTCACGCGCCCTCTTGTTCACCTTTCGCAGCGGCGAATCCCCTTCGGGCCGACCGCAACGTGAGTTGCGGATAGAAGACTCGAAATAAGCACACGAAAAAAAAGTGCGCAGGTAAAGGTTACAATGCACGTACACGTATTCAGGTGACGATGGCAGGACTCGCACAATGCATGTAGATACATGCATGGAGTAGTCGGAAGTCGGCGGAAACGAAATTGAAAATGTTGTGCGGCGGCGGCCGGGGTGCGTTGATTGCATTACGAGTGTTGATTTATGCATAGTCTCGAATGGGATGCGAATCGATCGATGGCGGCCGTGGCATTCGCGAAACGTATGTAAATTTATGCAAATCCGGCAAATGAGCAAACACGCCGCCACCACCGCGAGCACAAGTAGGCAATTTTCCATTTTTTACTAGTTTACGAGCCTAATTAGTGGATTTTATGCCATAAAATATGCATTTATTATTAAGGTTATTACTTCTGCTCTGATGAATTATATCAAAAACTATAGGCAACCAATTATACATCATATTATTCATTTTCATTAATTTTCCGATAAACATTTTAATGCAATTTTCTTAATTAACACAAAATGGAAATAATTACAATTTTTGATTGTACACACATATATTGCGTGTTTGTCGCCCATGCGTGTTGCAAATCGTCCTTAATTGTATATTACGATTACAATTTCGTTTTAATTATACCGCATGTCAGCCCGAGTGCAATTAAAAGCGCATAATTTGCATGTGCGCTTTGCAATTGCCAGATAAACGTATAAACTACCGCTGTCCGAGTTGCGCAATTTATGGCATCCACTGAAACTTAGGCTTTTACACGCCTGTGATATTTCAGTTTATATTTTATCTTCTTTTTTTAGATTTTGCAGTGATAAATGCAACCAAGCAAAAATACGGACAAGTAAAGGGTGGAAAAGTCAAAAGAATCATGGTGAAACGAACGAGGGCTCAAACAAAGTTCAAACGACGCAATTTCGCACAAATTTCCGCATGGCTGAAGTGATATTCATATTTTCATCCGGTTTCGCGTTTTTTTTTATAAGAATTCTGAAAGCCGCTTTACATTTTTATATGTGAATTAGTCCTACATGTATTTTCCAGTATAAAATAATCAATTATCATCTTATAAAACACAGTTTAAAGTTTGTATTTGCATTATTGTGTTAATATTGATTCAATCAATGAAAATACGAAGATGCTTTAAAGAAGGAAATGCTAAACGTGATTAATTGATGATAAACCAATTTATTAAGTGATATCAGCCGTTATGAATGTGTTTCCGGCGCGGCTAATGTATTTTCCTGTGCGGGGGTGCGCGTAATGAACACTCGGTATACTAAATTAATAGACAGAACTCAAAGGGATGAACGCAACGTGCCGCGGAAACTCGTTGTTTATGTGTGGTTTACACGCGTTCTATTTAATTACGTCGCTCAAAGCTTCGTAACATCGCTGTTACATGTTACATAGCCAAGTACGGAAATGAATATGCAGTAAAATATTAAACTTTTTGATTAGAAATTTCGAAGAAAATTTTTTGCGAATGTTAAATGTTTGAAATGTAATAGAAAGTTGTGAAATATCGACCTTAATCCTCAACTCGGCGGGATTTGCGAAACGCTTGCTGAACTTTGCAATCGGTGCAAGTGAAACTTTAACTCACTTTCCGGGGGACATCGAAGAGCAAAAGCTTGTTTATTCCGTTTTCAGTCACTGATTATATTTTATAATTTAAACTTTGCAGAGAAAGCGGTGTTAATAATGTTTTATTTCAATAATTGCTTAAAATTACCTAAAATTACTTCATTATTAATAAAATATAAGTACTAATCCATGTTAATACATTTTAAAATCATGGTATTAATAATTAATTGACTGGGAAATAAATTTTAAGCGTTTTTATTTAATTCATAGCGATTTTCACACAATAAACATTTTAAACTTATCCAGTGGTGCACAACGAGTGCACATAGTGCTCTTGTGATTGTATCATTCTCGATAATGCACTCCTGCCCTAGAGCCCTTTGTAGCTTTGGCGCTTTGTAAACCAGCGCGCCTGCAATCAACCCTTACAAGCCATGCGAGCACAAATTGCGGCGTGTGGAAATTCCGCAGGTATATGAATTTTCATTTCCACCACAATTGAAATTCCACTTTCGCATTTCAGCATTTTCAATCATCGTTTTCATTTCGTGCTTTTGTTTTAGATTTAGTTTGCGTTTGTTTTGTTCACATCGGTTTTATTCTGTTCGGCGAGTATTATCGCTATAGGTGTACACATCGCAAAAACGCGCGATGTAATCACGCCGTAAATGTAAGTACATGAACGATGTAGGTACTTGTGGCACGCAATATTGCACACATTCCACATTTTAGGCGTATTACGGTCGCGTTCCGTACGGCCGTTATCGTACATTCCGGATGTTCGCGTCTCACATGGCGCGCTTGTTATCGCCAATGCGATTCTCGATTTCGATGCGTTATCTCTTCGTAACAGTTTCCCTTATTCGAATTTCACATTGAACATGCCGTTTATTTTTAGAAAAACATTAATAAACTCATGCCTGACAAATCGTTCGTGTGCAAATACTCTCAAAACCTAATGTTTCGATTTATAATCCGTCTTAAAATTCATTTCAACCTAATTATAATCACAAATCTCCTGCATATGTGTAATATCCGGTAACATGTAAGATCTGTGACGTGCAGAGACATATGAGACGTCCGGGAAAATATATACAAATCAAAAACGAGCATCCGCAGCGATGGAAATGAAATTGGAAACTCGTGTGGAAATGAAAACTGTACCTTCAGTTGAAAGCTTAGTGCTACTCATGGTCTCAACTTTGACGACACGTGTCACACATGTGTCACATTTCAACTGATACAATATTACTAATCATAACAAATACTTACAACATAATTCTTGAAATACATATTATACAAGTGATAAAATACGTGTTAATGTTCAGTTTTAATTGAAATAGCATGTGCTTTAATGCTTGTCATAAAAATTTACGAGCTTTATTGTTTATTTCAGCACAAGGCGTTAAAATATACAATGTAAATCTATTCAATTTATTTAAAATGTTGATATAAAACTTACCGGTTCGAAAATTCGAATAGAAAGGCAGTGTTTGTTTTCAAACAAGATTTAAGATCGAGAAACCGCGTCGATTTTAAAATATCTACAGCAATGTGGGTATTATGTCACTAATGGTGTTTTGAAGGGGGCACTAGTGATTCTAGCGGCGGTGCCTGGAGGCGGGAGAGCGGCTGCCGTTATGCAAGACTTCGATTTTCGGCGTGCGTGTGCGGTTCGTATCCTGCCAGACTGCGGGACTGCGGGAGTGCGCACCGTGCGCGGCAAAGCTACAACTGAACCTTTGCCACCGCCACAGCCGCCGCTGCCGCTGCCGTCATCACCGCCGTCGCCACGAACTCACTCGAACGCCTTCGATTCGTTTCGCTCGCATTGAAAACATTGCAAAACCCAACCAGGATATTCATTCGGCATCTTTTTTGTGTTGTGTGTAAATAAAACAATTGAATTCTTGGAATGTACGATTTTATCCGGAGAAAATCAATGCAAAACCCGAAGCAAATTCAATTTGTAAACAATGTGAAACAATTGAATTCCCCAATCGGGTTCGGTCGTTGGTCTAATTTAGCCAATTGTTATAGTTTCGAAGCATTCGATGCGTATTTGTTGTTTTGGACTTGTACCACGCTTGTAATACGAAGTGGTCCTTTCGATGTCGTGTCCTCGACTGTCGGCGTATGCAAATCGATATTTCATTGCCGTTACCAATACGCTTCAATGTCGCTTCGAATTCGAACGCCCACGCTCGTATTGTAAAGTTTCATTGTGTCATTCTCATTAATAATAATCGAAATACTCAACCAGCTGGCCTGCGGCTGACGGTTACCCGAAATACCAGCAACTTTCTGCAATATTACGTCAATAATTATTACGATTGAATTATTTCTTATTAATTACAGATGTTTATATTGACCCAGGACAAGAATTTCTCTCAGGATCTGTAAAACAGTCGAATTCAGACGATAGACGTCAGAGCACGCGCGTTCGATGAGGTCCTTCGAACTCATGACGTCAGCGAGCACGAAAACGCCGACGAAGGGAAAATGGAAAATGTTTACGACCGCAGCAAGTTCAACGTTCACACAAAACACACCGAAGCGAAATATATGAGCGTCAAAAAAAGTGAAAGCAGCGCTGATGCGATTAATATAAATTAGTTAGCAGTTTGATTGTCAACGGCGGAACGATGATGTTGCTGCTACGCGAAGGAGATGAGTAAATATCACAATTACTTTGCCTCGCGTTGAATCTTGCTATTGTGTGAGGGCTCACGCCGTAATCTTGGGCGTTAATAATAGATGTGTGTCGGTAAAGAGCGACGTCGGCTGAAAGTGAGAAATTTGCATATTAATCAGGCGAGACGGAGCGACGACGCCATGCCCGGAAGGAGAATGCTCTTCCTGCGTTGTATCCTTTTTGACATACTTTCTTCTTATATTATTTTATGATTTTTTTTCTCTTCGTAGCTCCAACAAGCCGGTTTTTGGTTAAGAAAAATTCTTTATTCCTGAAAATATGAATAAAAATGAATATGTTTGTGTTATGCAAACAACTATACATGTATTTTATTTAATTTTTAATAATGCAGTAAAAAAACAATTTATATGTGTGCTGTGGATGTTTCTTCATTGATTTCTATAACTCTAGCAATCTGATTTAAAGGAACCTCTAAATTGCTTTCTGTCACATTGTTTTTCTTTTTATTTCTCCGCCATTTTAAGATAAAGCAACCGCCAAGGAACAGCAAACACACAGTGCCAACGCCAGCAACAATTCCTATTGTAGATGCAACAGTTAGTCCATTGAGAATAACCACTACTTGCATGTTTTTAGATAAACTCTTTGTTGCCAAGTTGGCGTCTGGTGAATTGAGACGAGTCAAACATTTCCACCGCCCGCTGTCTTCTTCTTTCACATTGCTGATAATAATCCCACACTCGCCGTAATTCAATCCTTTGCCAACGTATTTATATTTTGTATAAGCTGTGGAATTCTTTTTTGGTGATACGTGATACGTGTTATCGTATGGGTCTTGAAACGCGCAGTTCACAATGGCGGAAGTTGCTTTACACATCAATTCCAGATAATTTCCTTCGTTAATTTCCACATTGGCTGTTAATGTCTTCAAATCATCGTAAAGCATGACTTGGATGATTACTATCTCGTCTTTAGCTTCCATAGGTTGAGAAAAGTGACATTTCCAATCACCTAAATCGGTTTCATTGATTGATTTTACAGTAACACTGCAGTAACCAGCGCTAAAGTTAGTTTTATTTCCGCCTGCATAGACTGTTCCATTGGGGGCTGTTAAAAAACAATCTTCGGAACTGTAGTCAACATTACAAGCAATTTTTGCAGACGCCCGGAGAGTGGTAAGAAGTATTTTATTTGTTGATTCTGTTTGGTTCTTATTTTTAATATCAACCAGAGCGAAACCACCGGAATCAGCTATGAAACACTTCCAAGAACCTTTTTCATTTGCGGCAATTGGTAGAGGAAACTCAAGTTGACATGTGAGATCTGTTAAATTTGTGCCTAAAGTTGAATATCTTTCAGTAGCACCTGCTTGTTCTGAAATGGTGAAAACTTCTCCATCCGGACGTATCATTTGACACCATGTTGTTTTAATGCTAGGCAACCAATCGGGTCTTGCACCGCTTAAATAATGACAACCCACATTACCATACCCGTTCGATTCATTGTACCAAGTCAACATTTTCCAGTCATCAAACAGCTCCAACGTCATGTAATCAATGTTCGCTGCCATGTTGTTTTTCAGACCTGTTTTACACGTCCAAGTGCCGAGATCTTGCATAGTCACATGCTCAATGTGAAGCTCGCAATGTTTTTCATGTTTAAAAACTACGCCAGATGGATTTATCAGCATGCAGATGAGGCCTGAAGCAAAATTTCCACAATCGACCGTTGCTCTCTGGCCGAGTTCAACGATTACTGTTTTGTTTTTTTCTTTCACCGTGTTATCTGTAAATAGGAAGAAAATGTGGTTTTTTTTATTTATTAAAAATGAAGGATAAGTTTATAGATATAACTTTACCAAAGATGTCCACCGAAAACGATTTATTAGCGTTGAGTTTTTCACCATTTTCATTGTAACTATATGAGAGAGTAAACAATGTTGGATCTTTTGGGGCATAATCGGTCATTGTGAAACCACAAGTTTTCCGGAATAATGGTTTAATTCGTTTCTTAATATCATCCTAAAATAATTTCTTTTTACTAAATTTTCTTTAGAATAATTTTTCAATAACTTACGTTTTTTATTTCTCCGGATATTTTTACTTTTCCGAAACTAACGTTAAAGCTACACTCTCAGTTTCATTATTTGTATTAACAAAACTAAGCGCACAATCTGTTACAATTGTATCTGCAGTATCAAAGTAGATATAATTCATTAACGTTGCTCCTTCTTGAATTAAAATAGGCGACAAAATTTTGAGATATCCTTTTGCTCCTAAATAAATAAGTTAAAAAAAATAGTAAGTTATATAATTCTTACGTACCACTGTATTTTATGGCAATAGATAAAATCACCAAACTCATAATTTGCCTTAGCATCATTGTTGTCTGAGGAGTTATTTAAAATTAAATCAGACAAATGAATAGAATCTTAAATCTATTGATAATATCTAGTTTGTGCACTCTCAAGATTAATCTCAGCACTTCACATAAATTAAAATTTAATTGCAAGTTTTTATTGTAAAAATTGCAGAATATTTGAGAAAACCTTATTTTGTATTATTTATCTTGAAAAAATTTTGTTATCAGAATTTCAGTTTAGATAAAAGTCACACTGAAATTCTTATATTTGTATTTTGGAAGAATGACCTTCGTGGAATTACCTATGGCTTTGCAGAGTAGTTATATTTAACATAGGCAACTTTATTAACATGTGACATGTCATAAAATCTGAAGTGTTTTGCTATTTTTGTCACACTAGTCACAACTTTGAATAGATTGCGTGGTCATATGAATAGATAAAACCCAAAGAAGATAATTATGGACAGAAGCAAGTATTAATTGAAACTATATTCGATTGAATGTGATAGCAAGATCTATTGGCACTTTATTTGGACTTATTAACCCTACAAAATGGTAAGTTATAATTTTTTACATTTAGCTTTTCAATAATTGTTATAAAAATTGATATTTTAGGCTCCTAAAAGAGAGGTACCTCCTGCAATCAAGAAAATACTTGATAAAGATGTTGAGATTACTAAACACTTTTATGTGCTTGCCAATAAAATCATCCCATTGGACAAATGCAAAACCTATTTTAAAGGATTAGAGGTAAATTGATTTTAAGAAACTCATCATTAATGGTTTTATTTGACTGAAAATTCTAGATTTCCTGTCATGGAATTCCTTGGTTTGCATTCTGGATTTGTTTTACTTGGCTGTTCAATGATCCTTCATTGATTCAAATGCAAATAAACATGCTGCTTGGTAGATGAGTCAGTTGGCAATTATAATTGTAATGATAGTAATAATTATTATTTTTAGGTTTAACACTGGATATTTTATTTGTTGCTTTTATCAAGGCTTACACACGACGACGTCGTCCAGCTGCAAATACTGATGATGCTTTGGGTCAAATTGGTCCAGATGTCTTCAGTTTTCCATCAGGGCATGCAAGTCGTGCAGTATTTGTCACTTTCTTTTTCATGTGGCTTCATCCGTTGTCATTGTTACTCCAGCCTTTCATTATTACTTGGTGTGCTGCTGTTTGTGTGAGCAGAGTACTCTTAAGGAGACATCATTTACTTGATGTTGTGGCTGGAATTGTACTGGGAAATTTTATTGGATTGCTGCTGGGTGTGTTATATGTCAGCGACGATACTGCAAAATGGCTTATGAATAACTTATCCGACGAGAAATTGGATGGAGGAGATTTTCATGTGTGAAGTAAGGATATTAATTGTGTTATTGAAATGTTTTTTTGGGTTATAACTATTATAAACGTAATATTTTAAATGTATTTTCATGCAAATATTTTTGGGTACAGGATAATTCGCGAAAGAAGGTCTCGAGGCTTCGTGGTTTCGTGCCTCTAACATTTTTATCCCTTGTTAGTTAAAGATTATAAATAGTCATAGGACTCCTGTTTGATAATATCGAATGAGTTTAGCACTTTGGACGACTGTTCATAGACGTCGCTAGCATGGCCATTTCAATCAAATCTGATTTAGTGAAACCAAGACAATACCCTAAAGAAACTTATGAAATAAAAAAATATACCATTATTTTGTTTTTAGATTCAAATAAGAGTTTAAAAATAATAATGTAGTAATAATAAATTTTAGAGTTTCTGCGCAAAGTCATAGGTGGCGCTAGTTATATCATTTGACCATTTATTTAAAATTATTTCCAAAAATATATAGAATTTCTCGTATTTTATAAAGTGAAAGAAATGAAAGAAATTTGAAAAAGACTAGACTACGTCTAAGATAACTGAAATTTAATCTTGAATACAATTTGTAAGGCAGCACCCTAACCACTTCGACGCCTTCGTACTTTTCGTGTTTGTCTTTTTAATTAAACGCTACACCACGTCGGAACGGTCTTTTTCTTTAATTTCTTTCCGGAAGTTTTGTTTGTGAGTCTCGGTGGTTTATTCGTTGTTTTGTGGTGCAGTTGCATTCAGTTTTCATTCAGGAATCGGCCATGAGCGGCGAGACTCGAATCACTAGGACTATGTGTTCTCGCGTGTCGGCGGCGGCGCGCTCGAAAACTCAAGTGCATGCGAAACGAGCGCATTGCACGTCGGCGGAAAGAGGTCAGGGAAAAATCAATAAAGGTACGCATACCAAGACGCGGCCGAAGACCGGGAGCGATAAGGATGCACGTCCGCGGCGTGGGCGGGTTGGAAAATGCACGCGCAGGGATGAAAACGTGCATTTCGCGTGCGAAAGAGGCAAGACGCGAGGCGCGCGCGGCGTTTCGATGCAAAATCGACAAAGAAATATATTGGACAAACTTGGAAAAGGTAAAACATTCTAAATATTGCAGATGGTAATTTACATTTTCCAAACAACTACAATTTTTATGTGTAACTTTTGTTGCATTTCAAAATTGGATAAAAAACATAACTCAAGGCATTTATCTTTTTACTGATTAATGTCTAATAATAATTTAAACATTTTAGTCACATTAACTAGCGTTTTAAGCTATTTAAATTTATAAAAATAACAAAACTATTTATTTTAATGTTTTAGTCACTCTAAGAGTTTTGGTGAGTTTGATCTGCAAGTAATCTAAATTCTATCCTGATTTGCCACACTCGGTCCGCATAGTAAGCAAAACGTTTATCGTTATAGTAGCAGAAGAGGCAAATAAAGGCATCAAAACAGTTTCATTCAGAAGCCGAGCAGGTTCTACACGTAGTCGTATATCTGGTCGCGCGTCGCTGCGGCCTACCGAAGGCATTCGTTTCCTTTTGCTCCTCCGCCATCGCGAGCACGTATCGCGCCTGCTGCCTGCTGCCTGCGTCTCGCCTGCTATCACGATCGTGTCCGTTTTGTTCGCTTTGCTTACGCGGGCTGCACCGCGATATGAACCCGGTGCTCTTCTGCTCTTGTTTTCATCGTGCGCTCGCACTTGGTCCTGGTTTCAAGTGCGAATAAACTTGACCCGCCGCAACAATGCGGCGATAAATTACACCCGCCACGCATTATGCAATTTCATTAATGAAAACGAAAACTCGCTGGGGGCCCGAAATGCCTCCCAACTTGCTCAAAATATTATATTTGAAGTACATTTGTAGGCAAGCTTTATTTTTTCTTTGGAAGAAAACTTTCAGTTACAACTTCTTGATAGTAAACACAAAATATTATTTAAAGAAACAAATTGTACATACGTCAATAATTTGTTTACAGTTGAAAAATTTATAATTTCTTTATTATTCGTTAAGAAAACTGAAATTCTAAATTTTACGATAGGGAAACAGTTTATTCTCTGGTCAGAAATGCAAAATTCAATAACCGCGATCGAAGTTTGTTTACTACCTTAGTTATTCCTGATGCCTAATGGCCATAGTTCATTGCATATCGCATATATTTATTTATATCAGCGATAGATACGTTTTCCAACGTTCGCCGCGACGAACGCTAGAATTATAAAGGCATTATATGTCGATTAACGTCTTCTAAATATCGCGTAATCACGGCGTTCCGCTCGCCTTTCCGTCTAAGTACTATTTGAGAACGAGAACTAACCTCGCCAACGTGCAACGGTACCATGTACACAGGACAATATACAGGATGTGTTTACAATCCTGTCAATCAGTCCAACACACACCAACCACACCGCCTCAACTAAATCAACCTGTATCCACTTTTATCTAATATAATTTAAACTCGCGATCGATAAAATGCGCGAATTTAGAATGTGTGCTTGCAGCGGAAATAATACTCCACTTTCAACTGCAGCCTGTAATTAAAATTATAAGACATTTATTTGCAGCACAGATAATTAGTTGAATCAAAATGCATATTTATATACATTTTTTGTTTATGTATAGCACATACAATTTCCTGTTTGGCTGCTATTTTAAGATTAATCTGTATTAAGTTATAATTAATTGTTCCGACAGTCGCTGGTGCCTAAGTATACTCGGCGTGCGTTTCTAATAGTCAGCGCAATGCGCATTGGCAATAATTAAAATGATTGCACGTACGATTCGCATTCGAGCTTTGCTTTACTTTGCAAACGCAGCGCGGCGCATCGCGATAATGTATCAATAGTATCAATAAGCAATTATCGGCATTCTTTGTGCGCCCGTGCGTCGTGGCACGCCGTTTTAATGCAATTTACACATTGATCGCGCGCGCAATCGCAATTGTAATGCGGCGTAATTGCGATTCGCGGACGCCGCGAGCGCATCCGACAAAGAATTCTAAGATGTTCTCCAGCCGGAGGAGGCAACATTTACAATTCGATCAATTAATTACAAGTAGTACATCTTGTACTTCTACATGCACTGCATGCGCTTGTACTACACACGTGTGCATTGATCACAATCAAAAAAAAAATTATTTGCCTACAAACTTTATTTAAATTTATTCTGCATACAAAATATTTGATTCTGATTAAAAATATAAACAAATTATTAAATTATATCAATATGACAAGTTACACGTGCGTCGTTTACACCGTTCACACGTTCGTTTCGCGTTTCATTCATGAACAAGAAGATGGTTTGCAGGACGGAATAGTTACACGCACCGGTAGCTGCCTAAACACGGTGTAATAGATGTGTATGCGTACGTCTGAGTGTGTGTTGGCCGCGCCCGTTTAACCGCATTTAACGACGCACGCACGTTTCTTGTGTAAAATAAAATGTACATGGCGTGCAGCAAGTCGTGCATCTTCAGCGCCATCGACATGCAACTGCTCTCCACTTGTGCTTGTTGTAAGTTTCAAGTTCAGCGATAGATAACGAGGCGCATGATGCGTGTTGGTGTGTCTTGCCGAAGAAGACACGAAGACTGAGGACGTGCCAACGTGTTGGTAATGTGCGCGCACGCCGCGAAACTAAACTTTACTAACTTTATCGTCGCTTTGCGAATAACTTCATGCGAGACAAGACTTGCAGCGATGTTTAACATCTAACATTTTTATTTTTAACATTTACACTATAGCATTGTGTGTTATTGCGGTACCTTATAGGTTAGGTATTTTTCTGTCATTATCACGTGACTGAAACTATAGCAAACATGTATAACCTATTTTGAGAAATCCAATTTGCAATCGTCTGCACCTTCTGTTTTTAATTTTCGCTTATTTTCTTATTTACTATGTATTTATACATCATCGATGCATCTTTGCGCGTCTCTTCTACGTCCGCACCGTCGATGGTTGTTATGAAGCCATCGCGCCGAGTATTTGCACAGCGGGAACGGCATCCGACTCTGTCGCTATCGATGCTAATTACCATTACTTGTTAACGAATATAATTATTAGTGCCGCGCGCTGGCTGGCGATTGCTTTATTTCTCGCCTTATTTTATCACTGCGTGCGCGTAAAATTGCATTTTACGACGATAACGACGATCAAATGGCCCGTTCCGGAAATTACCTTTGCTCTCCGGCTCATCTTCGCTGTGGATTTAATACTTCGCGCTAGTTTACCTGGCGTGGCGCTTGTTTACATTTTTACTGCACGTTTTTTTTTTTTACCTTTTTCGAAAATGATTGCATCTGTAGTCTTCTTCACATCCTTTGCACATCGCAAATGAATCGTAAAAGTGTAGCATTCTTCTCGCTCTATTAATCGCGGCCCTTCTCGCGAAGTGCAATGTGCATGTGGATGTTGATCGGCGCAGAGTAGGTATTCATTAATATAATCCGCTAACCGAACGCGAATTTTCTTTCTTGCGCGCAACTCGTGCTCGACATCACGACTCCTCAACTTCCTGCATCAAGCGTCAAACTCCCTTTCTCTGCCCGAGTGTTGAATTCGCGCAACCTTTCGTTCAGCGGACGCGAAACGTCGCAACTTCTGTGCTACTCATGCTCATGTCGACGCTAATAGACCATTGCGCCCGCAGAACCATTAAATAAACCATCGACAAACATTCACTTCGTCTATTACCTTCGAACGTACTCTGGCGGCGTCGTTGCCGCAGCCATTTTTCATTGTGCGAGCTAGTTTATTATCTCGCATTTTCGAGGTGTAAAAGTGCGACTCGTGACGAGCGCAGCGTTTAAAATTTTCGCCCAAAGAAGCGTGGCGGAATTAGACGCTAATAGAATATTATCGGACTACTATCGGCTTTAATTTGCATTAACTACACTGGGAAATTGGGAGTTAACGAAGCATGGCATTAATTTAAATCACATAAAACCGTTGAAAGGAAATTAAACTTTCGGTTAAAAGAGGGCGCAAACAAAACTACCTTTAACCTATAAAACCTTTAAACGTCGAATACAATTGAAATTTTATTGTGTAAAACAGAACAACTGTGAAATCTTCATGTAA